ACTTAACTTATCAAACAAAAAGAAGGTTTAGTGAAAAAATAAGTAAAAAGCTGAAAAATAGTCCTGAAAAACCACTTGGCATATCTCATGTAGAACAGATAAATATTACTGAACACAGGATACTTGCTGGCATTTTTTCATATTCAACTTCAACTGTTCAACAAAGAAAAAATAATGTTTCATTTCTTATTCCACAAAAAAAAAATATGGATAATCTTATCAAAATTTTTTCTAATAATTTTCTTACAAAAAAATGAAATACTTTAATAGAAATTACATCTAAAAATCAAGGTACTATAATATTGCTGTACTTATTTTTTTTTACTTCTAATCTAAAAAATTACATATTTTAGGTTTTATTACTACTTCTCAATTATTTCAATAACAACAACATTCATTTGAAATAAAAGAAGATTTAATAAATGTTTCGTCAAAAATTCCACAAATTAATATTGAAAATGTTAATATTAAAAATTGCAATAATGTTAAAGTAAAGATTATTTTTAAAACACTAGAATAGATAAAACAGATAATATCAGTAATAATGTAAATTTATATAACTATAAAAAACAAAATAATTTGAAGTTTCTGAAAAAGTTTATTACTCTGAAAAAAAAAAGTCTAAAAATATCCTGAAGAAAAACATTTATTTTTATTATTAGGAAAATTATGATAATCTATATCACAAGTTACACTTAGTGTGATAGGGCATAATATTATAAATTAGAATCCTTAGACTAATTTCTTTAATATCTATTTATAATCTTTCTTATCATCTTTGTGAAGATAAAAAACCAAATTATTAATAAAATTTTTTAAGATAATTTAATATATTACGAACTATTCTTTTTATAATAAGTATTTTCTAAAATTATTTACAAAAGATATGTATTTATTTATTATATAATTTATACAGTTGATCCTCTTTATAATTATATCATAAAATGGTGTGATTATATGGTTATAAAATTTTAAAATAAGTATAAAATTGGGTTAAAAACTGATTTATGTAATTCTATCTAATAATTATGATTATGCTATTAACTGATTCATATCCAATTGTAATATTTACTGATTTCTATCTATTGATTGCTGATTAAAAAATAGTGTCCAATCTGGAAGGTATCTGATTTATCAGCATTTGACCTGTGTTAGTATAAGTACATCTTCATATATGGGAGGCGGTCAGTAGAAAAGGGGAAAATCCAAAATTTTTGTTAATTTTTATTATTAAACCAAATTTGTGCACATAATCAAGATTAGCCAAGTGGTCTAATA